GGCGTTTTCCTTGGCGTCCTCCGAGAAGCCCTTCCTCCCGCCTCCATGCTCGCTGCTTCCCTCTGCTGGCGGGGCGGACGGCACCCTCCCTTTCTGCTCTTGATTAAGTCTCTCCTTGTTCTCTGATTGTGCTCTCTTGTGTGGTCTCATCATTCCAGCAACGTTGGCAGCTGTTTGAAAGCAGCCACCAGGTCCATTTTTTCTTTTTCTTTTTTTTTTTTTTGAGACGGAGTTTCGCTCTTGTTACCCAGGCTGGAGTGCAATGGCGCGATCTCGGCTCACCGCAGCCTCCGCCTCCTGGGTTCAGGCAATTCTCCTGCCTCAGCCTCCTGAGCAGCTGGGATTACAGGCACGCGCCACCATGCCCAGCTAATTTTTTGTAGCTTTAGTAGAGACGGGGTTTCACCGTGTTGACCAGGATGGTTTCGATCTCTTGACCTCGTGATCCACCAGCCTCGGCCTCCCAAAATGCTGGGATTACAGGCGTGAGCCACCGCGCCCGGCCCATTTTTTCATTCCTCGCAGCGCCTGACTCAGGACTGCACCCGCGCTAAACGGTCAGTGAAGACGCAGAGGACCCGAGAAGTGTGGAAATGCTGCCTTCAGTTCCTCACACCTGCTTTACAGAATGAAGAAAAAAACCCCTTAACTTTAGGAGAAACCTTCAATCATTATCTGCGGCTCTCTTCTGATCTCCCCTCCTCACCCTCCTAAAGGACTAGGCTGGGAAGGGAGAGTGGGGGGCGTTTCCAGGCACCTCTCAGAAGGTGGCTGCCTCCTCTGCTGTTTCTCCAGCTCCTCTCCCCTCTTTCTGCTGTTCCCCGTCCTTTCTGGTGCCCACGTCACACACCCTCATGAGCAGTCTGCATCCTTCCTCTTCCTCGTTCTTTCCGTGCACACACCCGTGCACAAACACACGCACGCAAACACACACACGCACACACAGGTACACACACATGCAGCTCATTCCAGAGCAGACTGGCGCTGGAAGGGGGCCTGTAAGGGCCAGATATTTTGCTGCTTTGAATGCGGGATTCTCTGTCCCACCGGAAGGATGGTGCCACCTGCGTTTCCCCATCCCACCCCCGTGCCTCCTGCCAATTTTTGTGTTGTTGGTGTCCTCCAAGTGCCTTCAGTGATGTTTCAGGAAATAGGCCTCGGAAGCCCTGGTCAATGACAAGTGCCTTGAAAAATGCACTCTCTTGTAAGATAAGTAAGAATGTTACTACTCTATTTTCCTCTGGGGAATTCAAAATCTACATGTGTGTTTAAAGGCTCTGAGAAGTTCCGCAGTAAAGAACCTGCTTATGTTTACCAAAGCCAGCTTTTCCTATTTTGTGTTACACTCCCCACTTACCCTTCAATCTCCCCCTACACATAACACCATTTACTAACCTGGGGAATCGTTTGGGACTCGTGGGCTTGCAGGTGGAGCAGCACCGACAGGGGCTGATGGAGGGGAGGGGAGGCAGCGGAAGAGATGCTGTCATGGAATCTGCAGCAGTGGCAGCAGCAGTGGTGCCAGGGCACAGGCTGTCAGCCACCCCCAGGCACTCAGATCCATGTGTGACACAGAAGACAGCTGGACCCTGGGCTGAGTTTCCTCGGGGCATGGAGTCATACAGGAAGGGGGAGGAATGAAATTTCCTAAATAGCGACCATGGCTGTGCTGCCGGCGGCCTGGCTGCCTTTCCTTCCGTTCTTCTTGTCTCCTGGACATACACCCTCGTCCACCAAGTGAAGGCCCTGAAATCTTAAAGCTCAGTCCACAGCTGAGGTCAGCAGAGGCAAGGCCAGGAGAGTCCCCAAGGCAGCAGTCAGGGTGTGATGCCAGGAGACCCAGGAGCTTGTGGCTTTCGTATTCTGTTCAGAAAGGCTGCTGGCACCCATACCAATAGGCTGATACTCTTCTGATGAAATTCCCCCCCATGGCCTCAGGGAAGAGCCTGGGAAGGAGAGAACAAGGGAAGCAGCTTGGCTTCTTCAGGACTGATCACAAGAGCGCAGAGCAGGTCTCTCGAGAGACCCCTCACTTCTTTGCGGCCCCAGCCTCGGGGGCACCTGAGTGGGGGCTGCTGCGATGGGCCTCGTGTAGATCTCAATCAGGGGCATTCCTGCCTTGGCCTGCACCTCTGGGCAGAGGCCATGCCCAGGGCATTCTGCTGTCACAGAAGGCATGAGGTATCTCATGGGACTGCCATGCTGGCAGAGCAGGCATGGCATCGCTGAGGTGGAAAAGGTTGTGAGGAGTCCAGCTGAGGTGCATTAGGGAGATGGATTTCCTGCTAGTTTCCTATCTCATAATTAATACAGAAGCCTGAACAGCATGCATGGCAAGCAGGCCCACAGGAGGTGCCGCAGAAGGGCTGAGGGAAGCCCCAGATTCCTCTGAGCGCCTGCTTTTCCTCTTGTGGTGTGGCGGGGTGGTGGCGGGGGAGTTCTGGAATCCATTCCAGCTGCAGATATTCCAGAATTCTGATGATGGGAGACCGAGGAGGCAGGGTGCATGGCACACACACAACCTCAAACAGCTGGGCCCTCTCCTCTGCCTATGGCACCAGCTTCTCCATTGCCCACCGCAGCCCTGAGAGCTGCTTATTCCCAAAGGCAGGAGAAGGGAGGTGGCAAAGGGCTTGTCTTTTCACTGTAATAAGGGTGCATGCGGGCCAACAGGGACTGAATCAGGATACAGTGGAAACGGCTGTGCCTGTGGGGCTTGAGAAACTTAGGTTCAAATCCTGGCTCCACTGCTTCCTGGTATTTGGCAGGTGATTCACTTCTAGAATTTCCGTGTCTTCATCTGTAAAACTGGAGCATGGCATTCATTTATTTAGTGAACAATATGAATATACGTAAATCCACACTAAAGTGTATTTTAGGTGCTAAAAGTAAAGCAGTGAACAAAACGTAAAGTCTTTCCTCTTAGGATTTTTTTTTGTTTTTGTATTTGAGTCAGGGTCTTGCCCTATTGTCTAGGCTGGAGAGCTGTGGTGCCACCATAGCTCACTGCAGGCTCCAGTTCCCAGGCTCAATCAAACCTCCCAACTCGGCCTCCCAAGTAGCTGGGACTACAGGTGTGCCCCCCTGCCTGCCTAACTATTATTATTGTTTGTAGAGTCTCCCTATGTTGCCCAGGCTGGTCTGGTCTCAATCTCTTGGGTTCAAGTGATTCTCCCACCTTGGCCTCCCAAAGTATTGGGGTTACAAGGATGAGCCACCATACCCGGCCATAGCATGTTTATATTCTAATGTGAGACGGTAAAAAACTCAATAAAATAAATATTGATGTATCAGGTGGTAATAATACTATGAAGAAAAATAAAGCAGGATAAATGGGCTAAGTGTGACAGTGATGTGTGTGTGTGCTCATGCGAAGGTGTGTTTTTTTAATTTTTTTAAGATTAGGCAAGGAATTTGTCTTTGATGGGTGATACTTGAACAAGCCTTTGGGGGTGATTGGGAATGGGATTAGTGCCCTTATAAAGGAGACCCTAGAGAGATCCCTTGACTCTTCTGCCCTACACAGTTAACAGTGAAAAGCCAGCCATCTACGAACCCAAAGGCAGACCCTCACCAGACACTGAATCTACAGAAACCTTGATCTTGGACTTCTTAGCCCCCAGAAGTAAATTTTGTTTTGTTTGTATGCCACCCAGTCCATGGTATTCTGTTATAGCAACCAGAATAAATTAGGACATTGTATGTCTAGAGTAGTGAGAGTGAGGAGAATTTACTTTCTTCGTGGAGAAGCAGAGAATAGAGGGACGTGTGTGTACCCACATGTGTGTGTGCGTGCATGAGTGCGTGCATGCGTGTGTGTGTGTGTGTGTGTGTGTGTGTATAGGGAGGTCAGGCCATGCAGGTCTTGCATAATTACTTTAAGGGAAATGGACAGTCATTGGAGGCTTTAAACAGAGAAATAACATGGCTTGACATACGTTTTAGAAGCATCACTCTGGCTGCTGGGTGGAAAGAAGATTTTAAGACTGCTGTTGGACAAGGGTGAAGACTAGTTGGGAGCCAGCTGTGTCTTCAGGTGACAGATGATGATAGCTTGGATTGTGGAAGTAGTGATGGTGTTAAGAAATAGGATCTGAAGATACTTGGCATTTAGAAGCTATGAGACTTCCTGATGGATGGATGTGGGGTGTGTTCATTGTAAGACACAAAGAATGCCTTCAAGGCTTTGTTCTGAGCAGTTGGTAGAATGGAGTTGTCATGGACTAAATTGAAGAATCTGCTGGAAGGAGACTGTTTCTGTTGTAACGGGGGCTGAGATCAAATGTTTGGCTTGAGGCATGTTAAGTTAAAGGTGCCTATTAGACATCCAAGTGGAAGTGTTGAGTAGGCAGGTGGATGTGAGAGTCTCAGCCTAGGGGAGAGGCTGAGGCTGGGATATAATGTTGGGAATCACCAATTTGTAGATAGTTTTTTAGATCTTGGGACTGCATGCGATCATAGGGAGTGCATGAGGATACAGAAGAGAAAAGGACTGTGGAATACTCCAGTGTCTAGAAGTCAGAAAAATGAGAAGGAACCAGCAGGGGAATCTAGAAAGCATGCTACAGACAGGCATATAACAGCACAGAGCAGGGGCTCAGTTAAACCCAGCCGCCGCCATCATCATAATCATCCCAATATTTATGGCTAGACTACTGGAAAAAAATAGTTTTAAGCAAAAAATAGCAAGAGCGCAGGAGGATGTACCTCCCCCACATTTTTTTTCTGTTTTTCTTCTCTTTCCTCTCTAGCTCCTGGTTACTCATGGTTTCAGACTTCCATCAACTTAATAAAAACAAAACAATAGAGTGAAGGCTGAAAAATTATCTATTGGGTACAATCTCCACTGTTTGGGTGATGGATACACTGAAAACCCAGACTTCGCCAGGATGCAGTATATTCATGTAAAAACTCTGCACTAGAGCTGTACCCGGTGTGGCACGGAGACATTGAGACGGACTAAAGCCCTGGGCGGCCGGGAGCGGGATGCGTTAGTTCCCATGCCGCTGGGCTGGAGGAGGAGGGCAGGGAGCGCCGCGGTGCGGGACTCGGACCGGGCCGAGGCGCTCGCAGTACTAGCGGCTTCTGGTTTTTCTGAGGGCCGCCCCAGAGGCTTTGACCAACGAGTCCGAGCCCGCTCCTGCTACTTCTGGAGCCTGCGGGCCGCGGTTCAGTCGCCACGAGTCCTGTACCAGGCGTCTCCTGGGTGGGCGACGGGAAGAGAGCGTGGCCTCGGCCTCGGCCTTAGCCGGGCTCCGGCCACTCTGGGTGCCGGGGACAGCGTGGTCGTGCAGGAGGCCAAGAAAGTGGTGAATCCACTATTTGAGAAAAGGCCTAAAAATTTTGGCATTGGACAAGATATCCAGACCAAAAGAGACCTCACCCGCTTTGTGAAATGGCCCCGCTATATCAGGCTGCAGCGGCAGAGAGCCATCCTCTATAAGCGGCTGAAAGTCCCCCCTGCAATTAACCAGTTCACCCAAGCCCTGGACCGCCAAACAGCTACTCAGCTGCTTAAGCTGGCCCACAAGTATAGACCAGAGACGAAGCAAGAAAAGAAGCAGAGGCTGTTGGCCCGGGCGGAGAAAAAAGCGGCTGGCAAAGGGGACGTCCCCACTAAGAGACCACCTGTCCTCCGAGCAGGAGTTAACAGCGTCACCATCTTGGTGGAGAACAAGAAAGCTCAGCTGGTGGTGATTGCACACGACGTGGATCCCACTGAGCTGGTTGTCTTCTTGCCTGCCCTCTGTCGTAGAATGGGAGTCCCTTACTGCATCATCAAGGGGAAGGCAAGACTGGGACGTCTAGTTCATAGGAAGACCTGCACCACTGTCGCCTTCACACACGTTAACTCGGAAGACAAAGGTGCTTTGGCTAAGCTGGTGGAAGCTATTCGCACCAACTACAATGACAGATACGATGAGATCCGGCGTCACTGGGGAGGCAATGTCCTGGGTCCCAAGTCTGTGGCTCACATTGCCAAGCTAGAAAAGGCAAAGGCTAAAGAACTTGCCACGAAACTGGGTTAAATGTAAATAACTGTTTCTGTAAATAAAAATAATTAATGCAAAAAAAACCCAAAAACTCTGCACTAAATATATGTTACAAAGAAAAGAAAACTGACAATAAAATAACTCTGAATATGTTAAAGCAGTCAACTCATAACTCAGTTCAACATATTCCAGCAAAGCTGAGGTCTTTGGGTAGTTGGTAGGGTGGGTAATAACTGAATTATTACTAATTCAGTGAGGTCACAGTGAGGAGAGTCAGGAGCGCTGGACATGGCTTCCACCTCTTGCCAAAACCTGGTGTGGCCACAGCTGAATAATTTCATGCCTCCCATTCTTGAGGAGGGTGAGACCACCATTCAGATAGGAAGATGAATCATACTTCTCATATGGCATCTGTGCCATTTGCTTTTCTGGTTTCCAAGGCATCTGGATCCTATCCTCAATTATCAATGTAAGATAATGGTTTTCTTGTTTTTCTTTAGAGAGTCTCACCTAGAATTGTTGCCCATTTAGTATCCATATGATGTGGTGGGAGAAGTGCCATTTAGGGCTGATTGTGCAACGTCCCACAACCATCCACCCCTGTAGGCACTCTGAGACCTATGATCTTAGCAGACCAGCAGAAGGCAAATTTCTTGAAAGATATTCATTTATTTTCTTACATAATTACCTTCCTTGGATTGCATTTTAAGAATCATGCCCTTGGCTTTAATTAAACCTGTTAGAAACAGTCATGCAAAGTTCACTGCTACATTTGCAGAAGAACTATGGTTGCAGACACCATCCTATACCATCTGGAAAAGACTTTTTTTTTCTTTTCCACTTAACCAGTGTGCTAATGGAAAAGCCTTTTCCAAGTGTGCTTTGTGGAGTACAAATCTGCCGGATACTAATAAAAATTTCATTATGGGCTGGTCACGGTGGCTCACGCCTGTAACCTCAGCACTTTGGGAAGCTGAGATGGGTACATCACCTGAGGTTGGGAGTTTGAGACTAGCCTGGCCAACATGGAAAAAACCCTTCTCTAAAATTTTGTAAAAATACAAAAAAAAATTAGCTGGGCATGGAGGCGGACACCTGTAATCCCAGCTACTGAGGAGGCTGAGGCAGGAGAATCACTTGCACCTGGGAGGCAGAGGTTGCAGTGAGCTGAGATTGCACCACTGCACTCCAGCCTGGACAATAAGAGTAAAACTCCATCTCACCAAACAAACAAACAAACAAACAAACAAACAAAATTTCATCATGGGGAAAGGTTAGAAAGTTTGGGGAAAAAAAAGGATGACTTTCCTGAAGGTTGTCTCAGAGTTTTCACTGACACAGCAAAAAAACACCGTGGGTCCTTGGAAAGGGGATACACTATGCACCATTTCCCATTCCATTTCATTGACCATAGAATCCTATTTTGAGCTGGATTTCTTGGGAGTGTGTTCCACACACCCAGTAGAAGAACCTCTGGATGCTTCTTGCTCAGTCAGTTTAGCACCATGGGCTGGACATGAAAGAAAGTGTACATATGAATTTAACAGCTTGGAGTGCTGGAGGTGGCTCATCAGTGCATGGTGGTCTTTGGTGCTAGAGGTCCCAGAAGATATTAATTTCTGCTATGTATGATGTCAGGGGTCCAATTTCAAATCTATCACTCAACACTGTTTTGTAAAAATAGTATACAAAGTTAAATATTAAAAAGAAATTTAATGTTGGGCAAGGAGTTTGGAATTAAGTTGGTTATATTAATGTTTCATGGTGGTGATGGGCTGTGACGCCAATTGTTACTATAGCTTGCTACCTAGGAATAGCACCGAGGGGCTCCCTACCACCTCTCCTACGGGAGAAGTCTCCCCTTGTCACTTCCAAACACATACATTCCCTAAGTTTCCCATCATTCCCCAAACTTCATTCTCTGAAGCTCCGAGGAAACCCAATAGGAAAAGCTTGCTTCTCTCCTTCACTGGGCAGATCGACCACCATAGGTGTGTGTGCAGACTGCATGCCCTCCTATTGACACAAGATTAATTATTTACAGGCTGGTGATTGCATTTTAAAGTGGGAATTGAAATGTGTTTTGCTAAAGCTTCCAAAGTGGGGAGGAAGAAGGCAGGAAGATGTAGATCAATGGGTGCGATAGCCTGATGGGCAGGGTGTAGCCTTATTATTAAGGCTATGTCTCTAGCCAGGGGAGACAGCAAGAGTCCCAATATCGAAAGCACCCTTAAGAGAACCAAACAGGTCAGCTGGAGTGTTTCAGATGGGAGGGTTTTAACTAGAGTCAGCTGTCCATGTAGTGAGATGTAAGGGAATGGTTTGTAAGTTCTCTGTATAATTTTATCACTAGAATTAAATCACTGGCATGGTTTGGCTGTGTCCACGCCCAAATCTCATCTTGAATTGTAACTCCCAAAACTCCCACATGTAGTGGGAGGAACCTGGTGGGAGGTGATTCAATTACAGTGGCAGGTCTCATGATAGTGAATAAGTCTCACGAGTTCCGATGGCTTGATAAGGGGAAACCCGTTTCACTTGGCTCTCATTCTCTCTGTTGCCACTGCCACGTGAGATGTGCCTTTCACCTTCCGCCATGTGGAACTGTAAGTCCAATAAACCTCTTTCTTTTGTATATTGCTCCATCTCGGGTATGTTCCTTATCAGCAGCGTGTAGACAAACCAATACAATCACTTTGACTCTTGGAGAGTTTTCTATATTCAAGAGGCCTTGGGAAGCCAGGCATGGTGGCTCATCCTTACAATCCCAGAACTTTTGGAGGCCAAGGAAGGAGGATAGTTTGAGGACAGGGGTAGGAAACCAGCCTGAACAACACAGGGAGAGTCCATTTTAACAAAACTGTTTTAAAAATTAGCTAGGCACGGTAAATGTGGTCCCATAGTAAATAGAACTACATGTCTGTAGTCCCAACTAATCAGGAGGCTGAAGTGGGAGGACTGCTTGAGTCCAGGAGTTGGAGGCTGCAGTAAACTATGATTGCATACTGCACTCCAGCCTGCCTCGGAAAAAAAAAAAAAATGAGCCCTTGGAAATTCCTGAGATTTCCTGCTGTCAGCTAACACTGTAACTGGAGTGGAAGTGAGGGTAAGAAGGATAAAGAAACCATGCCTGGGGGGGTCCCTGGTGTGTGTACCTGAGGCCAAGGAAGTGAGAGTGTGTGTTTAAGAAAGATCTCCAGAGCCAGGATACCTACTGGAGGGGAAGTAGGGATCTTTAGGGGCTCACATACATCCCTCCCCTCTTATCATTTGGTGGTTTGAGAGATGAGTGAACATGAGTTCAGCTGCTGAGTCATGGTCTGAGTCCTACCCTACAAACTTAGGGATAGGGAGAGAGAGGGGGATATGCTTTGACCCTGTGCAGAGCCCCTCTCTCCAGGCCCCGGGAGGTTGAGTCTGTATCTTCAAGGGGGACCTGCGGGGTAGTTCCCTCAACAGGCAACTGCAGCAGGCAACACAGGGAGACTACGTGATCCTCTCTGATGGAACCAGCACTGAAAACGCTGCTGCATTAGTCAGGGTGCCTCAGAGGAACAGAAGCAATAGGAGTTCTATATCTGACATATAGATGTATGTACATAGCATACATATTTACGTGGATTTATGAGGGGCTGTAATGTGGGAATTGGCTGACATGATCATGGAGCTGAGTAGTCCTGCAAATCTGTCATCTGCACGCTGAAAAGCCAGGGAAGCCGGTGCTGTAATTTAGTCTGAGTCCAGAGATCTGAGAACCAGGGTGGCTGCTGGCGTGCATCCCAGTCCAGTCTGGAGGTCTAAGAACTGGATTGGGTGGCCTGAGAACTGGATTGGACAGCAGGACTTTTAAGTCCTGGAGTCTATAGGCCAGAAAGCAGGAGTGCCAATGTGCCAGAGAAGAGGAGATGGATATTTCAGTTCACGAAGAAAAAGAGTAATCCGCCCTTCCCCTGCCTTTTTGTTCTACAGGGCTCTCAAGGGATTGGCTCTTCTTTACTCAACCTACTGATCCAAATGCTAATCTCATCCAGAAACACTCTCACAGACATACCCAGAAATAATATTTTACCGGCTGTCTGGGCATCTCTCAGCCCAGTCAAGGTGACACATGAAATTATCCATTACATGCAGGCAGGGAGAACTTCTGGGAGTCCTGTTGTGGGGTTCCATGAACTCCCCGGGTGGGAAGCAGACAGGGGCATCAGGACCCTGAAGTGAAGCTCGCCTTAGAAGCAGCCTCCTGCAGCCCCTCAAAGCACAGGCATCTTTTGTGAGACTCAGGCTTCAGTGGCTGTGCCGTCTCTGTGTAGGCAGATGACTGGGGTACACAGAGAAGAGCCACAGTAAGATGCAAGTCGGTGGTGACTGCCGGGCAGTGGCTCTGCTGGGGTGGAGAAGCCACCATGAGCTTGTGTGGAACCTGGAGAGGGTGGTCGGTGGTGGGAGTGGCAGCTATTCAGGACTTCTCTGCTGAAGTTGGCTGCAGGGTGGGTACCACTTTTAGAGTTTTATTATAGCAGGGCAGTAAAAGAAACCCCCTTTCAACATTATCTTGAAGGCTCTTTTTGGGGAAAACAAATGTATGTGTGGCGGAGGAGATGGATGGAGTTAGGGAGAAGGTGAAATTGTCAAACTTGATGAAGTGAGATATTTACAAAGCTTGCTTTGCACTGATCTGAGCTTTCTCAGGCCCCAGTAACAGCCTAAAGAACAAGTGGTCTTACAAGGTCTCCCCAAGGCTGATGGGGCTGTGTGGAAGCCAATAGCAAAAGATCCAGGCTGGGTGCAGTGGTTCATGCCTGTGATCCTAGTGCTTTGAGAGGCTGAGATGGAAGAATTGATGGAGGCCAGGAGGTCAAGACCCACCTGGGCAATACAGTGAGCCCACCATCTCTACCAAAAAAAAGAAAAAGAAAAGAAATTTTTTAAAGCCCGAAAAACAAAGGACTCAGGGAGACGAGAATGGGGCGCCTGAGTCATCACATTCGTGGAGGCCCATCAACGCAGCAGGGAGCAGTCCACTACTGACAGCAGGCAGGCCCTGGCGAGAAGCCAGGCATCCGTCT